ACAACGCAGATGATGAGTGTACGTATGCCAACTTACTTCGTGGGCCGATCACCGACGCAACAACAGGCGAATAAGTCTGTTCATCACCGAGCCATTCACCGGGGTTTTGCGTGACTATCATTGTATTCGAAACGTGCATGTTAGTGATGAGAACTGGTACCAAGATGATATGAGATTGAGATGGAGTAAGGTATCCTAGGGGGAGATGCATACATGGTACCGAAAGCTGTGGTGTCGCTGTCTGGGGAGATAGCATGCTGAATTCCGCGCAAAGAAGAAAAAGCCAGTCAGTAACCTTTCACCTACACTGATAGGGTTGTTTCTTGATAGGGTCACGATGTACTCACTCCTCAAACACAAGCATCCGTCCAGAGAACCCTATAATTTGATCCTGGTGAAAACTAATGTCCGGTATCACGATAATGGTATCGCCGGTGCTACCACATGTAGCGGTGTCTGTCCCAGTCGCAAGGATGTGCTGTTCGAACCAATTCCGGAATATCTTGACTTGATCTTGTAATTCCGTGTGCTCCTTTACGTGGTCACGAGCTGAGGACCTGTTGAAACCGTGAGCGGTACGTTAGCAGTATGTTTACCTCGCTTTGGTTAGGTTGGTGGTTTGTTGATGGAGGGAAGGATTTAAGTAGGTAACTTACCAAAGAACCTGTGCCTCAAGATCGACAAGCCCGCGGCTGGAATGGATTTTTGTTTGGTAGTCTTTTCGGAACTTGGCGTATTCGTGGTAGTGGTTTAGGTCGTATAGAAATTGTGCGGTCTTTTTGGAGCATCATGAGTTTTGTTATTAGCCCAGGGTCGTGGGTTAAGAATCCATCTTGGAAGACAAAATAAAAGCTTGGAGCGTACCTTACTAAGAGAGAAATATATGCCACTCTTAACCTGGTACTTCTCCCACTCTTCATCAAGATTGACAGTTGTCCTATCAACGTTCAAATGGCGTTCGAGTGCATTGACAAACACATCCATTGCGTATTCCGATTTCTGATCCTTGGCGTAGTCCAGATAAAGGATCTTTTTCACGTTGTTGCGGCTTGACTCCTTTGCTGGGACGGTAAGAGGAGAAAAGGTACATTCGGCAATGGTGGAGAGGTCGTGTAAACTCCGACCAAAGATACCTACGCTGTCATTTGGTCCCGGGCTTGATTTGTCGTGTTCCGCCGTCAATGAATGTCGCAAACCATAGAGCCCATATCTCTTCCCCGATTCTCTTACCGCGCTGTCCACTTATTTTCGAATGAAGCCTTGCAGTTAGCTAAGCCCCTTTCAATTTTCTTTGCATCCAGATGAGACCTGTACTCACCATTCCCACCAACAGCATACTCAAGCCAACCATACCCAGCCAAAGCAGACGCCGAGCCCACCCCAGTCCCTCTACAATCAAAGATATTCCCCTTCCTCGCCGCCCTTGGGTTAGCAGGGAAATGCGTCTCTGGCCACAAAGAATTCCCAATCCTCAGCTGGCTAGTCTTCGTCTTCCCCACCAATACCGCTCCTTCTTCTAGCAGCCTCTGAACATAAGCATCAGTCTCTGTGGCGGGCGGGTAGGTATCCACGTAGGCTTTGCAAGAGAGTGTGGTTTGTGTGCCTAGGAGGGAGAGACCGTCTGTTAGGGTTATACGTTTTCCCCGGATTGGACTTGGTCTTTTTTCCCCGCGGGTTGTGAGGCGGGTGTAGTGCCTGCTGGGAACGGGAATCGTTTTGGACATGCTGTCTGAAGCCAGGAAGGAGACTGCTTGGAAACCGGAGGGGTTGTGGACGTCGTTGGGGATCATGCCGTAGATGAAGGCGTCCTGGGTGTCGGGGTATAAGCGGTAGGCTTGATGGAGGTTTGGGCCGCTGAGGAAGTAGGGGCCTGAGGGGAGGTTATCGTCATCTTGGGCTTCGGGGTTGTCTGTGCTGGATGTGTGAAGACTTGTCTTCTGTAGGCGATAGGTTGCTTTGGATGAACAAGAGCTGTCATCCTTTCTCTCGGTAAACAGGCTGATGTTGCCATTTTTTGATGGCTTTTCAACAAGAATGTCCGTGAAACTGGGCGAGCATACATCGTCTGTATCGACGTAGTACTGGAGAAGCTGGCCGATTTGATCTGGTGTGCCGTTGAGCTCTTCTTCGGTCAGGAGGAGCACGGGAATCACTTGGTCGGCTTTGATCGGTGCTTCTGTACTTCCCTGTGAGTAGCATCAGTATAAATCTTTGTAAGGTGTGTGAACCAGAAAGGAGAGGGGGGGGGGGGGGGGGGGGGGGG